AATGAGCAACTCCACTGTACATGTCCTGATTTCTCCATTTTAATAAATCTTTTTAACGTTTATTTATTTTTGAGAGAGACAGAGCATGAGCAGGGGAGGGGCAGAGAGAGAGGGAGACACAGAATTCAAAGCCGGCTGCAGGCTCTGAGCTGTCGGCACAGATCCAGACACAGGGCTCAAACCCACAAACCGTGAGATCGTGACCTGAGCCGAAGTTGGACACTTGACTGACTCAGTCACCCAGACGCCCCGTGATTTCCTCATTTTACAGTGGGGAAATGAAGGCCCAGAGAATAGAGAAGGTGCCTTCTCAGACTGCCCCCAGTGAGGCCCCTCTCACCTATTCATGCCCCCGTGTGATCCCCTCCCACTGAGGGTGGGCTGGACCTGGTGATGGCTTCTTGACGTATCATCTTCGATATGTCAAAGATGATGGGATGTCACTTCCAAGATTAAGTTACAAAAGACTGACTTCTGCCTTGATACGTTCTGTGGTCTTCTCAGCCTGCTTGCTGTGGTGAAGGAAGCAGCATGTTGGGAAGGTCCGTGTGGCAAAGAACCGAGGGCAGCCTCCAGCCAGCAGCCAGCGAGGACCTGAGACCCTCAGTCCCACAATCCACAGTGAACTGAATCCTGCCAACAGCCACCAAGTGAGCTTCCACGCAGACCATTTGCCGCCTGGTCCTTCGGATGAGACCACAGCCCAGGGGACACGTTGCTACAGCTGAGAGATCCTGCAGTAGAGGACCCAGCTGAGCTGTGCCCAGCGTCCGGGCCCCCACAGAAACTGCCAGACGACAAACGGGTGTTCTTTTATGCTGTTCGCTTTAGGGTGACTTGTTGCACGGCAATAGATAATTAATACAGAGAGGTCAACACTCAGCTGAACTTCCTCCCAGACTCCAGGCCTTAGATCATTAGGGCTTCTCTAACAGAATGCCATAAACTGGGTGGCTTATAAACAATACACATTTGCTTCTTGCAATTTTCAGGACTGGAAGACCAACATCAAGGCACCGGCAGACTTCGTGTCCAGTTGAGGACCCACTCCCTGGCTCATAGAGACCGCTGTCTCTTCACCGTGTCCTCCCGTGGCAGAAGGGGGGAGGGGGCTCTCTGGGGTCTCATAAGGTCATTGATCCCACTCATGAGGGCTCTGCCCCCATGGCTCAATCGTCTCCCATTGGTCCCACCTCCTAATACCATCACCCCGGTGGCGGGGGTAGGATTTAATATGTAAATTTTGGGTGGACACAAACATTCAGTCTCTAGCAATGTCTAAGACTGTGCGAGAGAGAGACGGATGCCAAGTAATCTGCACCGTCCATCTGCAGTCCTGGTTGTGGTCCAGCCTCCCTGGAGAGAAAGGGGGGCATGAAGCTCTCTGTTCAGTCTCATCTCCACTTGTGTCTTGGCTGGAGACCTTAGAGGTGTGTGTGTGTGTGTGTGTGTGTGTGTGTGTGTGTGTGTGTGTGTGTGTGTGTGTGTGTGTGTGTGTGTGTGTGTGTGTGTGTGGCCTGCCTCTACCTGTGTTCTGAGTGCTGTCTCTCCACCTCCCTGGCTCCCCTGCGTTCACTCTCCAGCCTGGCTCCCTCTGGTGGTCCTAAAGGGAATGGCTGATGCAGAAAGACCAAAGGAAAGTAGAGTTGAGCGAAGAGGAAGCATTTCAGGCAAGTTGTGAGTCTTTGGCTGCCACACACAGAGGGAGGCCTGGGTATGATGTCAGGGGTCAGAGGTGCCCTGGCCTGGCAGGACAGTGCTGGGGGTCTGGCCTCCGAGCCCACCACCCATACCCACCCATCCCTGGGAGGGCTAGGAGACAGGATGCCTGGGTCTCTCACAGTGGGTGGGGGCGGGGGCCTCCCTCCTGGGACGTCACCCGTTAAACTTCCTCTCCCGGCCACACAGGAAGCTGAGCCGGCTCAGGGCCCAGCCCTACGCAAGCACAGGCCCCCCAGGACCCCTAGAGCGAGGGCCCCACCGGCGGCCCCGCAGGGACCATGGGATCCAGAGCTGAGTAAGAGCTACACCCTCCCCCACTCTCTGGACCAAGATTCCCAGAGCAGGCCTGGGCTGGGGCCAAGGGGAGCCGGGGTGGGGCAGGCCCGGGAGGGGTTGTGAGCCACAGGGGCAGGTGGCTGGGACTGGGGCATGTCTCTCAGCCCCTCTTCCCTCTCTTTCTTTCTCCTTCCGGCTCTGGGTAACTAAGTTTGCAACTCTGAGCAGGCACCTCTTGGTGTATCAGAGTGATGAGGAACATGGCTTCCGGGGGTCAGCAGGGAGCGGGGGTTGGGGGTGAGGGAAGACTGTGTGGGGTCCATGTGCCTGGGTGCTCGTGTGGGACCATGCCAGCATGAGAGTGAAGTGCTGGGGGGTTCCCGTGTCCGGGGCTCTGTGTGTCTATAGTCACTCCCCATCCCTGTGCTGTCTCCCTTCTGGTCTCCCTGTCCCTGTCCCTGAGCCCAGGACCCAGCATCCTCTGTGGG